GTTTAGGGTTCAGGGTTATAGCGGTTAGGGTTTGGGGTTTAGGGGTTTAGGGTTTAGGGGTTTAGGGGTTTAGGGGTTTAGGGGTTTAGGGGGTTAGGGTTTAGGGTTTAGGAGCAGCTTGTCTCAAACGATCGGCTGAAGGCTCTCATCGCATTTCTGCGGGGCCACGCACTTGCAATGGCCGTCCTCGCTTGCAGAGCTTTCCCAAAAACCAAAAAACGAGTCAAGCTCAGCTTTTCGAGAAGGGACCCCTAAGCCGGTAACTTGGAAGGTCGCGGGACTCAGTAAGTAGCTATTTTATAGACTTAGAAGTATCATAACCCCAATTAGTAGGGCCCCAAAAAAGCACGTAAGCAAAAATTAGGATAGGGATGTCCCATATAAATCCCCTTATAATGAGGCCCAATAAGGTAGGGATATCCCAATAAAATGCTTATGCTTATGTCCTTTTTGTGTTCCTAAATTAGGGTCCCTTTTAGGGTACCTATAAGTCTAGCTATTACCTACTTACTAAGTCCCCCGACCCTCCAAGTAGAAAGGGCGCAGCACTGCTGACTCGAGGAGGGGCTGCCTTTCCTCGAAGATGCAAATACCTTCAATGAAGGGGCTCAGGAGTGTGCATACAATGACATTAAGACAATAAGAACAGGAGGAACTGATGGCAATAGTTGAAATATCAGAAATAGCAATACAACTAGTTATATCGTGATATCAAGAAGCAAAGTGGAAACAACAAATGGTTGAGTTCAGGGTATGCAGGTATATGTTCAGGAGTTGGACATGACACGAGCCGTGCTTGAGTCCTCAGTGCAATCGAGCATTGTCCCCACTTTGAAATATTGAAGGCATTGCGGCTTGCGGCTGTTTCTAAAGCCAAGTAAAGTTGCAAGTTCCATGAAAATCCAAGTAGTACAACCCTGCAACAGAAACTCCTCCTCTGTTTGTAGTGCTGTATTTCGAACTCCCAAGAGCCTCAAAACTGCCGCAATCTGCTCAGTGTCTCACCATGCTATCCCTAAACCGCAAAACCCTGCGCCCCTAAACCCCTAATGAAGAGGCCTCAATATTCAAAATTAGAATACCGTCTTGGGGTATACGAAAATAGAGCAATTATAGAAAAGTTTACACAACAGTATTGGTAATCATTTAGGCCCCGTATTAAACCCTAAACCCCAAATCCTCAGCTCATGATGTCCGAACTCATGTGCAAACCCTAAACCCTTATACACCCTAAAACCCTTAAGCCCTAATACCCTAAAGCCCTAAACCCTAAAACCCAAAACCAAAAAAAATGCAAACCCTAGAGTTTGGGTTCCTAAGGCTTAAACTCTTGAACGACCAGGTTCTTGTTACGAGCCCCAACAACCAACTTTATAGGGACCCTGGAAAATTGTAGGGTTTGAGAGATGAAAGCATGTAGGGTTTAGGGTTTAGGGTACTTCGGAAGCATCGGACAAAGGAGGCTCAATGTCGCCGTCCAGGCAGGCCTGAGTCCTCTGAAGGTTTCGGGTGTAGGGTTTAGGGCAATTCCCCAAGACTCCTAACTCGCAGTCCTCAATGCGGGCGAGGAAAGGGTTCGCCGGCAGCCCGGACGGCTCCGCCATGAGCGGGCAGGAGGCGATGGGGCAAGGCTCCTAGGTCCAGGAACGGGCTTTTGAGGTTCAGGTTTCTGGCTAGTGCAGGGTGTCGGTTTAGAGTGGTACTGGTGGATAGGATTCTGCCTTCGCCACAATATTAAAGTATGCAAACTATGGTAACTTAGATACAATCCTTGCTATGGATACTGCAGTACCCTCAAATGGCTTGGCTTGAGGGTCTAAGGTCATGACGTTCCAGGGCACAGCCTTCCGGTAGTAGTAACGATAGCAGCGTTTAGAATTTAGGGTTTAGGGTTTAGGGCTAAGGATTTGATCGCAGAGGGCTAAGTTGGGGCCTTTGTCTGCTGCAACCGGAACTCTGACATTACGTCCGGACTAGCTATTGCCACAGACAGAACCCTTAAAGTAAAATCTAACATAGAGTTCTCAGCATCAGAACCCCTTCTGTACAGTTAGTCTATCATATACTACCCCCAACCACATATTCCAGATATTTAGATGCCTACATTCAACAAGTTGGACGGCAGCAGCAAAAGACCTAAACCCTAAACACTAAACCCTAAACCCAACGTTGCGCTGAACGAAAGGTAAGGCCGTGTAAAGGTCCTTGCGTGTTCTCGAGTTTCATTGCCAACCAATCCCGGACTTTCAGGTGTACAGGGGTGGTTATGCACCCCAAAACCCTAAATTCTCAGCTAATTGGGATTGGGATGCATTGCACAGAGGGTTATACGCCCCAAAACCCTTAACCCTCAGCTAATTGAGATTGGGATAGAAAGCGCAGAGGTTCCTGCAGAATAGAATACTTAAAGGATCAGGGGACTTAGTAACTGAGGTCATAAACAAGGTAACTATACGTATAACCGCAATCAGGGTACTTATAACCCTACTTGCTAAGTCTCAAGATCCTCCAAGTAGCGGCCAAAAGCCACAACCAAAACGCGAAGGCCCTGAATCCCAAACCCTGAGGGCATCCTCCAGCGACCTATAAAGCCCAGAAGCCTACTGTAGGAGCCTGCGCAATTAGAATACGGTTTTGGGCTCCTCGATAGTATCATAATCACAAGGAGCCCTGGGGAATAATATTGGTGATGATTAAGGCTTCCATATTTAAGAACAAAATCCATCGCTTTGCTTGCAATTGGGGGTCCCCGGTTGGATCGCGCTGGTCGCAGCAATCTCCTTGCACTTCAAAAAGTTGCTCTCAAGGGGAGGGGTCAGGCGTTGGGGTTCAGCGATGTCGGGCTTAAAGGGTTTATGGTTTGGGCTTCGGCGCTCAGGGGTTTTGGGACAAAGGCTTCAGCCCTAAACCCTAGACCCTAAATCCTAAACTCTAAATCCTAAACCCAGGAACCCTAAACCCTAAATCCTGAACCCTAAGCCCTAAATCCTGAACCCTAAACTCCCAGGCGTTCAAGGGATGAGGTCTGCAGGCTCTGGCCTCTGACCGCGGAGGCTAAGGTTCCAGGGCTCCAAGGTTCAAAGGCTCGGAGAGTTGGTTGCTTCCCCTTGCTGTTCATCCTGGGTTCTTGTTTGGGTTTAGGGTTTAGGGTTTAGGGTTTAGGGTTTAGGGGTTAGGGTTTAGGGTTTAGGGCTTAGGGTTTTTAAGGAGTTTAGTTTACCTTGCCAGAATATGGAAACCATCTACGTTACCATAAGTTTAATAAGTTCCCCTAAGATGGACACCATACAAGTTGCCATAGATGCTCATGGCAATCTGGATGAGCTTCCTCAACTCAGCAATCGAGGCCACGCCCTGCCCAAACCCTTCTTTACTAGGAGTTAGGGTTAGGGGGACCCTTGGGGATATAGACCCTCTCAACAAGGCCCCTTTTAAGGGAGCCAGAACGCAGGGTTCAGAAGGGTCTCCTTTAAGGGGTCTCCCTAATACCCTAAACCCTAAACCCTAAAATTACCCTAAACCCTAAACCCTAAACCCTAACCCCTAAACCCCAAAATGGCCATTGGAGAACCAAGCGACTTGCACTCCGACAAGACCGGTACAACACACTGCGAGGCCGAGCGCGAACCACAGAAGATGCCAGGCCGTCGAGACGCGCTCCTTTGCTTTGTCCTTTGGGGTTTTAGGGTTTAGGGTTTAGGGTTTAGGGTTTAGGGTTTTAGGGTTTAGGGTTTAGGGTTTAAGGTTTAGGGTTTAAAGGGTTTAGGGTAATTATAGGGTTTAGGGTGTAGGGTTCAGGGTTTAGGGTTTAGGGTAATTATAGGGTTTATAGGGTGTAGGGTTCAGGGGTTCAGGTTTCAGGGTTTAGGGTTTCCCAAATTAGGATGAAGGTCGGGTGGGGCTGATCCTGAGTAAGAGTCCCTATATCAGGGGTCCTTAATCCTCCCTAGCTTCATCCCACCTTTTTGAAGCCTCCGACCTTCAGTGATCCAGGTTTTTCGAGGGCCACCGCGCAACTTTCGAGACGCTCCCCGGCTTCGCCGCGCATTCGTATCCAGCAGGGGCGAGTGGAGACGTTTCCCCATGACTTCGCGAGGTCCTCCACCTCCCAAACAGGGCCCGAGTAGGGCCCGTCGGATTGATGTTGAGCTGAGGAAGCCGCCGGCACTCCATACTCGTAGGCGCAGCTGATCTGCTTGTCGCCTTCGTCGGCATCGAGGCTGTCGAAGCTCTCCTTTTGCAAGGAGACGAGGGCCCAGGGTGTGTAGCTGTAAGTGCGACGGCGGCGGGTGTCGCCCTTTAGGCTGCGGGCCGGTGCTTTATCAACCATCTGCCGGCTCAACAAGGCTCTCGGCCGTGTCTCCTGAAGGGACCGAAGCAGGAATCAGTCTTAGGTGCTTTAGACGTGTCTGCATAAAGCTTATAGAGGTGTATAAGTGTTTATCGGGTTCTATGGAGCCTATAAGCCCCAAACCCTAAACCCTAGACCCTAAACCCCTCTAAACCTATAGTGAATTCGGCTGCACGGCTTTCCTCCTGGTCCTCGACATCGATCAGCTCCTCGTCCTCCTCCTCATCCTCATCGTCTTCCTTCGTGTCAACAGGCTTAGGTTTAGGGTTTCGCGTTTAGGGTTGACTGGCTGTCCCGAAGAGTCCAAGCAACAGCTTAGGGTTTAGGGTCCAAGTAACAGTCTACGGTGACTATTTTTAAGTATTCGGGTTGTTTGACTACCTAAGCAGATACGGGGGTTTCCAAAAATAGGGGATCCTTAGATTAGATAGAAGGACCCCCAAATAAAGGTACCCCGTATTTTCGGAAACTCCCATAGTTGACACTACCTCCGTTTCTTTTCGGACCCGAGCCGCCAAGCCCATTTTAAATACGCGGATCCACGCAGAAAGGTGGAGGGCTGGAGGGCTGGAGGGGTGGGTGTGGGGGCTGAGGTTGGAGGGGTGGGGAGGGGTGGAGGGAGGGAGGGGTGGAGCTTGGTGGAGGGGTGGAGGCGTGAGGGGGCGGTGGGGCTGGAGGTTGGGTGGGTGGAGGTGGAGGGGTGGGTGGAGAGGTAGGGAGCAATTTTCGAGTTAAACGCACTTTTTGTACTGTGTTGCTTCGGGCACTTGGCCGCCGTCCACTTAACCAAAAAAACTTCAGGGTAGTACGCACTTTTGGGACCCGAATTGGCTCAAATATCTACTACGAACCTGCTATATTTGCTGCTCGGACCCTTTGCGTGTGTTATGCCTAAACCCTAAACCTTCAACCGGAAACCCGAAACCCTACGCCCTACTCCCTGCCTGCGGTCCCTCCTCCAAGCGCCGACCTGGCTGGTCGAAGTCGAAATTCGCCGCCTCGGAGCACTCTTTCTTGTGGAGGGTGGAAGCATCGTGCGCCTTCAGAACACAAAACCCTAAACCCTAAACCCTAAACCCTAAATCCCTAAACCCTAAACCCTAAACCCTAAATCCTAAACCCTAAACCCTAAAGCGCCTTCAGAATGTCCAGGATGCCCTGGGGTGTACACCAACCTGCAGAGACGATCAAAATTTCAGATCTGCACCTGCCTGCTGTAGGGGCCTTAATGATTAGGGTTTAGGGTTTAGGGTTTAGGGTTTAGGGATTAGAATAGGGTTTTGGGGCCCATTGTAATATAAGTATAATAAGGAACCCCCGAAAATAGTATAGGCAATTATTTAGGCCCCTATATTACTCGCCTGGCAATTCTGATCAAGCCTTCTTGAATCACCCTGAGGGTTCAATAAGATCCGAAGACCTTGCGCAGCATGCTACTGAAGCCCAGAGACTCAAATTTTCGGGTGATACTTGGGCCACCTGGGGCCAGTTGGAAGGCAAAAAGCATTGGATGGACTAGGTCTCCAGCCGAACCGATAGACAATTTCTGTTGGATTTCGTCCCAACAGCTCTGCATTTGATGCATGGCACTCTTGACTTGGGACCCCACGCAGGGATACCAAAGCATGGCCGTCGAAAGACTGAACAAGCCAAGCAACAGTGCTTCACATGCCATGGAGCAGGATCCACCGCGTAAGGCTTTCCACTTTGGTCCGTCCCACATTTATGAGTTGAGCTGGAAGCAACTTTGTAAGCGTTCTCGGCCGATGGAACCGTGTACACGTAGCCATCAAACAGCTCCGGGGCGTACGTAATCTCCCCGTTGCATCGGCACACCTCCCCCTCTTTCGCACACCTCAGCCAGGCGAGTGTGAATCAACTGGCACTTCAGAACATACACGAAAATCCCTAAACCCTAAACCCTACACCGTGTCTGCAGCAGACAGTAGGGCCTCTCTGCCTCAACCTGGAAATCACAGCAAATGCCGGTTTCAAATCACCGAGATGCCAGTAGGTTCCCGGGCAGACTGCTATCCTTGGCTGCTCCAACCAACTAGACTAGAGATGCTGTAGGGTTCGACGGTGCTGCTTCCATCGCGGCTGCAACGGAAACGAGAACCAAAAGTGCAGGAACCGGAGCTGCAAGTACAAAATGAACTGCGAAAGATGCATGACCATTCGCACACATCAGCCTTTAGGTCCGTATAGGTACCGATGTGTCTCATGCTTAGGAGATGGGATTGGCAAAATATACTGAGGACAGCAGCACAACCTGCGAGCAGCCGTCAGCAGTTTTTGACAGGTGAAATAATTTTTCGGGCCATTCAACACGGTCTTCTGTGGTCTCCAACGTGGGCCTGCTTATGCCTGCTTCACATGGTGTGACTCATGGCTTCCACTACTCTCTCGACGACTGGGCGGAGGCAAAGAGCTCTCCAGCTTGGTTTGTTGGGATACAGGAGAACGGGGGTTTAGGGTTTAGGGTTTATATAGGGTTAGGGTTTAGGGTTTAGGGTTGGGGGTTTAGGGGTTCACGAGACAGACCCTGTGCCGTTCCCAACAACTTTAAGAGACATCGAGCGACTGCTCCGTCAGGAACACAGGTGGCTGCGAGGACGGCATTGCGCCCGCT